TGCTGAGTATACGAATTTCATAAAAACCTTTGAGCTCCTGATCGAGAGTAGGACCCCGGATCCAAGCTCACGTCTACTGTATCTGGTACAATACACTTCTGGCCAAGTTCAAGAGCTCATGCGCAGCTGTCTATCGATGAAAGGAGGAGAAGGATATGCACGAGCTAGACAGTTACTCAAAGAACGATACGGCCAGGACTACCGCATAGCTACCGCTCTTGTGCAGAAGATAGCCGAAGGACCACCCATCAAGTCCGAAGACAGCGCTGCCTTACAACGGTTCGCAACTAATCTGACCAGCTGCACGAACACACTACGAGAGATAAACCTTCAAAGGATCATACAACGACTACCGTATGGGTTAAGGCTTCGGATGGCGCGATGTTGTCGACAGCATAGTGGAAAGGGAAGGCAGAGATGCAACCATTGATGACGTCACAGATTATGTGTCAACTAAGGCTAGAGCCGCCAGTCATCCAGTCTTTGGAAAGGCTGAACCTTCGTCGAAATCGTCCAACCCGCAACCAGTCGCAAAGAAACAGGCTCCACGGCAAACAGGAAATTCTTCGTTTAGCGCTCGAATCAGCGAACAACAACCCGCAAACCTAACATCAAGTGTCCGCTGTGCAATAACAACCACTGGTTATCGCGCTGTGAACAGTTTCGTAAACGCTCGGTCGAGGAAAGAATCAAATTTGTTTTAGACAAAAAACTGTGTAACAATTGTTTGTCACCAGGACATTTTGCTAACGCCTGTTCAAAGGATAAGTTTTGCAAGGTAGAAGGTTGCACAACGAAACACTCGTCCTTCCTACACCTTGTCAAGACGAACGGTGGAAACCTTTCAGCTAACTCCATTAATGTGATTCAATCGAAGCAGTCAGGAGAATCTAAATCTCAACACCAAGTACACAACGGGTTCGTGAGTATGAGCACACGATCAAATGTCAAACAGATAACCTGCCTCGTCATGGTACCTGTCCGTGTAAGAGTTCCCGGTGGCCAACGGTCGGTGGATACTTACGCCTTTCTGGATAACGGTTCTAATGCTACCTTCATGACAACGGAACTCATGAAGAAACCTGGCCCTATGGGCAGTGAAACTGATATGCTCCTCTCCACCCTACAAAGTAACGACGCTCCGAGGAAATCTACGCTTAATAACTTAGAAATATGTGATTTGAACGAGGAAAATGTCGTCCTGCTTCTAAACGTACTTACAATGCCGTTCCTTCCAGTATCTACAGAAGACAAAGCGACCAAAGGAGATATATCCAGTTGGAAGCACTTGAAAGACGTAGATCTTATCCTATAGAGAATGCTGATGTAGGACTTCTGATTGGCAGTGATAACCCAGARGTGCTTCAACCGCTCGACATGCGAATAGGAGAAAAGGGAAGTCCATATGCTACAAAAACCATCTTGGGATGGACGGTAAATGGCCCGCTACGATGAGCTAAGAACAATAAGCTTTGTACTTCAAACCCCATTCGAGCARATGTGCRGCTAAGCGAGCAGTTTGAACGCTTCTGCAATCTTGAATTCAATGATCGAGAAATGGACGGTGTCGCCATGTCGCGTGATGATGTTGCAGCCCTTCAAATCATGGAAAGTTCTGCAGAACTTGTGGACTCTCACTATGAAATATCCATGCCTTGGAAGCACTACCCTCCTCATCTAGAGAACAACAGAATCATGGCAGAGACTAGGCTTCAGTACCTCAAGAAGAAACTACAKAAAGACGAACCTSTACGCGTTAAGTACACGACCTTCATAGATGAYATGATTTCAAAGGGCCAGGCAAGACCAGTTCCCACATCAGAGATAAACAACCCTTCAGTATTCTACTTACCCCACCATAATGTTGTCAATCCACAAAAACCTGAGAAGTGTCGAGTCGTATGGGATTGCGCTGCGAAATGGCGCGGTACCTCGTTAAATGACCAGCTTCTACGGGGGCCGGATTTGACTAACACTCTCGTAGGAGTATTAACCCGATTCCGGGAAGAACCAATAGCGATTATGGCAGACGTAGAAGGTATGTTCCATCAAGTCCGGGTAAAATCGACCGATCGAGATTATCTAAGGTTCCTGTGGTGGCCTGATGGTGATCTCAAACGTGATCTCGAAGAATACCAAATGCTAGTACACCTCTTTGGTGCAACCTCCTCAYCGAGTTGCGCAAACTTCGCATTGAAGAAAACCGCTAAAGATAATGCGACTGACTTCTCATTCTCAAACAATCGAGACTGTTCACTCTAATTTCTATGTCGATGACTGTTTGAAGTCAGTACCGACAGTGAATGAAGCTAAACACCTGTCACTGCAACTACGTACTATCCTCTCAAGAGGTGGATTCCGATTGACAAAGTGGATTTCAAACAGTAAAGATCTGCTACGATCCATACCAGAAGTTGAAAGAGCCTCAAGCCAGAAGAACCTCGACTTTGAAAATCCCTTAGCTGAGAGAACACTGGGAGTGCGCTGGGACGTTCAAGGAGATCAGTTCGGATTCGAAATAAAGATGAAGGAAAGGCCGGCTACTAAAAGAGGCCTATGGTGTTGTCTATGGTGAGCTCGGTATACGACCCTCTGGGATTCGTGAGKCCAGTTATCCTTCCTGCCAAATTTATTCTTCAAGAACTTTGCCGTAAGAAGCTGGGCTGGGATGATCCAATACCTGCAGAAGACAACCGTGTTTGGCAGACATGGATTCAAGATMTCCACAAGCTTGAAGAATTTACGATYAACCGATGYTTAAAACCTGATGATTTTGGAGTTATCAGACGTTGCGAGCTTCATCATTTCTCTGATGCGTCTGAGAAGGGGTATGGCGCCGCATCTTACCTACGTTTAATCAACGAGTTGGGAAGAGTTCACTGCACTCTAGTAATGGCGAAATCAAGACTCGCACCTCTGAAAACAGTATCGATTCCTCGACTAGAACTGTCAGCTGCGGTACTTGCAACGAGGCTCGATCGAATCAGTAGAACAGAGTTGACTCTACAAATCGACTCCTCAACCTTTTGGACTGACAGTACCTGTGTTTTGCAGTACTTGGCAAATAAATTGGCCAATAAAAACAGGAGATTTCAAGTGTTCGTGGCCAATAGAATAGCCAAGATCCTTGATCGATCAAATGAAACACAATGGCGATATGTCGACACAGAATTAAACCCCGCAGACGAAGCATCCCGTGGTCTGCCGGTCGATGCGTTTCTAAATGACGTACGATRGATCGAAGGCCCATCCTTCCTGTACAAAACCCAAGACGCTTGGCCAYGCCAACCGAATTTCGGGYAACTAAAGGACGAYGATCCAGAAGTGAAAGCTGAGGTAACATCAACTGCCACTACAACCACAAGGAAACACCCAATATCAACTGCCATYGAAAGGAGTTCGTCCTGGAACCGACTGAGGAGAGTTGTAKCGTGGATGTTGCGCTACAGGCAAGTACTATTAACCGCCGCACGGAGACGAAAGGAAGGTCATTCGGTCGACTGCCTAAAGAAAGCCAAAGTGGCACCCATAAGCATAACCGAAATAAATGAAGCTGAGTTTGAYATCATCAAGTGCGTTCAAAYAGAAGCCTTCAAGAGTGAAATCYTCACYCTTGAGTCAAGCGGCCTATCAGCAAAGCCTAAGGAAATCCTTAAAGGAAGTCCAATCTACAAGTTGGACCCAATACTTACAGACGGACTCGTCCGAGTCGGAGGAAGATTAACCGCTTCGCCGATTGAGTGATGCAAAGCACCCAATTATACTACCTAAGGGGCACGCCCTTGTCAACCTTATTGTTATGCATTATCACCGCGATTGTGGCCATTCAGGTCAAGAATATACACTTGCCCTTATACGCCAAAGGTACTGGGTAATAAATGCAAGAGCATCAGTTCGCGGCGTACTAAACAACTGTGTAAGCTGMAAACGAAGGCAAGCCMCRGCCGTTAAACAGAAAATKGCAAGTCTTCCTCGAGACAGAGTTACCCCGTCTTACCCACCATTCACCTACACTGGCGTGGATCTCTTCGGTCCGTATGAAGTACAACGCGGGAGATCTACAGTCAAACGTTACGGTGTGTTGTTCACGTGTTTAACTATACGTGCTATACACATTGAAGTCGCAAGCTCCCTGGACACCGATTCATTTATCAACGCGCTTCGACGCTTCACCGCTAGACGTGGTCAGCCGAAAGAGATGCGATCTGACAATGGCGGCAACTTCGTWAAGGGAGAAAGAGAGCTAAGAGAAGCAGTTGAAGAGTGAAACCAGCTCCAAATACATGATTTCCTGACACAGCGCGGAATCAAATGGACGTTCAATCCTCCGGCTGGATCCCATCATGGCGGCGTGTGGGAGCGTTGTATCCGCACAGTGCGTAAGGTCTTAAGAGCCTTGGTACATCAACAGACCATGAATGAAGAGAGCTTAAGTACCTTGATGTGTGAAGTAGAGTCCATTGTCAATGGCCGCCCGATCACCAAAGTATCAGATGACCCGAGAGACCCAGGACCTCTGACACCAAATCACTTGYTSRTGTTACACACAGGACCCACGGTACCGCCTGGCAAGTTCTTGAAGTATGACAGCTATGGTACACGTCGATGGCGACAAGTGCAGTACCTTGCCGACGTATTTTGGAAAAGATGGGTAGGGAGTATCTGCCTGCTCTTCAAGAACGTCACAAGTGGAACGCTCTGCAAAGAAACATCGCTGTCAACGACATCGTGCTAGTTCTCGATAACAACACCCCCCGCAGTACGTGGCCACTTGCGCGTGTCCTTGAAGTCTACACCAACCGCCGAGATGGTCTAGTGCGCTCAGTTAAGCTCAAGACAAAGACCTCAGAACTTGTGCGTCCTATCAGCAAGATCGTTTTACTGGAGGCAGCAAACGATAAGTAGGAGTCAAACCTTTGCTATGAACTGTTACACCGTATTAATAGCTACACACCTTAGTCTAGTTTAGTTTTAGTGTATCATTTAGTACGTCAAGTTCGTTTATCAAGTCAACAACTTATATTCTTCTATTCAACCTTATTTCTATCTGGTACGTTGTAGACCAAACGTAAGTAATTCTTTGATTCTTTAGTAAATCAGCTATATATCGAATTAGCTTAATGTTTGTAATTTACGGCAAATTGAAGTATTTAGTAAGTTTTAGGCGTGACCTGCACGCATTGATTCATTTAGTTTCATATTATTGCTGTGATCATTTAAGTAATTCAAGCACTGGATATATGTGCAGTTATTCGATTATTCATCATTTATATTTGTATTTTAAGCTAGATTCTTGTCAAGTTGTTATTCTTATTTGCKTGATTTATTGATTATTGGATATTATACCAAATTGTATTCTTTATATTGCTTATGCTATTTGTAATTTGTATTATGTCTTGTTATGTCAATTGTTATAATTCTCGATTGTAGTTCGAACCGATTCTAGTTCATCAATCAACAAAGAGAGTTCATTGTTCAMCACGTCGTCATGCGTTGTTATTAATCGAGTTCGGAGCCGCAAAGCACCAGGACTACAATGTAGTCGCGCGGAAAATTTCGTTTCGCGTTCCGTGCGAGTTACATTGCTTTGTTGAAACTTATAATCAGTTTTTAGAGGCATAATGGCTGAGCTTTAGAATGTGACAAGTTACCGTATTTAATCATTTTTAAGCCGCACTTCTTTTCCAAAAAAATCGTTCCCAATCGGKAGTGGGKCTAATCTATGAGAAGACTTGTAAATTTGCCTAAATTAGCATTTACGGCTCAAAAACCGCTGCGCATGCGCGAAATTTTGTGATTGCTTGGAAAACAAAATGGCGGACGACGGGCAACAAAAAGACGGAGCGATTCAGAGCTGTACATCTCTTCATTTGGGTCAAATTTCGCCGATCAGATGAACTAATATCAAAATGCATTGACCAGTGTGARTAYACATGAGATTTGTAGAGGTTTCAACTTATATTTGATAACAAAAAATAAATTTGAAGTAGACTAAAAAATAAACCGTATCGATCAGAAGTTGTCAGAAACACCGGCACATTTTGGACTGAATTAATTATTATCCTACTTTCAGAAAAGCCATAAACAGTACAAGAAAAAAARATGATGCAGTGTCAATGCTTCATTTTAATTTTTGACATTTATTATTATTGTGTATTTAATGTTTGTTGGTGCGACATGTAGAGTGAAGTCATTAAACCAGTGAAACAAAGTAGTCAAATAGACACAAAAGAAAACAGTGCAATTGCATGTAAAAGCATGCTAGCAAGTGTATTTGTGTAATATTTCACAGGACTTCACTAAATTCCCTACAGCACTTGCATATATTTATGGCAAAATTATTTAAGTTTGGAATAAGACAACATAGGTTAGAGCAATTCATATATCTGTGAAATATATATATAATAAAAACTATTATATTTCATAACAATTAGTAAATATTTTGCATGTAAATAGATGATATATYACTCAAGCAAATCAACTTGTAGTTCAGTACTCAGGAGACATTAAARTACATATATACACAATAATTGAATTAAGTCATATATTCTTTATTTCATTTGTACTGTGATATCATTGAAAAAATTAATGACTTGATTCTTGTGTATTTAATTTCTCCTGAGTATTGAACTATAAGTTGATTGCCATCATGTACAAAATAGTGACTAATTGATAAGAACTATTTAGGTTTTATTTCACTGATTAAATAAAATTGCTTTAGAGCCAAGGCATTAATTTATGAAACTCAAATAGTACAGGATAGTGCTAAATTATTTATTATATTTATTATTTCATTTCATGCTTCTCATCATTGTTTAGAAAAGAACATTTTCATTATTAGTACGAGCCAACAATAATATTCGCACATTTACAAGTTTTTTAKTTTACACTTCTATTATAGAACAGAGTCACATGAGCCATGGAATAAAAACTAAAAGAATCAGTGAAAATTTGTGACAATTCTAGATTTCGGATAGAAATTGCAGTACATTCGCAAAAATTTCATTAAATCGATACAGACAACTTCCGTTTTARAAATCAAAATTAGAAAATATGGTACAATTTTTGCGCTTCATCATTGATGTGAGATTTTCAACCGAGTCTGCAGTGAGTTGTACAGAATGTCACAAGCTCGTATTAAAGTTAAATGTCATGAATGAGAAGACTAAAGAAGAGCAGAACAAAGAAATATTCTCTGGTGTGAATCTATATGGAAGTGTCTTGCTAGTTTTCACGTAAGCTTTAATTGGTTTCTACGTTCCTTTTTGGTGTAGCATTTTCATATTATAAACACAAGCTATTGTCATTCTGTTTGGTTCATACTGAATAATGTGAGTGTTGATAATTATATTATAAAAAAAACTAGACTTTTACCTTTAGAGTCAACGCACTTGTACCGTGAAATATGATCAAAATACAAAGTTAACCATTAGTGTTTATTTAATTACTGACTAGATAAAATTAT